TTATCATGTCTCCCCTGACCCTCCTGTCCTCCAGTGTCGTCAGGCCGATTGCCCTTAATCTTTCTTCATAGGACATTCCCCTTAGCTCTGGAACTAACCTTGTGGCAAACCTTTGTACTTTCTCTAGTTTCTTGACGTGCTTTATCAAGTGCGGGTTCCAAACAGGTGCTGCATACTCCAGTATGGGCCTGACATACACAGTGTACAGTGTCTTGAACGATTCCTTACTAAGGTATCGGAATGCTGTTCTCAGGTTTGCCAGGCGCCCATATGCTGTAGCAGTTATCTGATTGATGTGTGCTTCCGGAGACAGGTGTGTGTGTATAGGTGTGTGTGTGTAGGTGTGTGTAGGTGTGTGTAGATGTGTGTGTGGTGTGTGTGTGTGTGTGTATAGGTGTGTGTGTGTAGGTGTGTGTAGGTGTGTGTAGATGTGTGTGTGTGTGTGGGGGGGGGGGTGAGTGTGTGTGGGAGTGTGTGTAGGTGTGTGTACTCACCTATTTGTACTCACCTATTTGTGGTTGCAGGGGTCGAGTCCTAGCTCCTGGCCCCGCCTCTTCACCGGTTGCTACTAGACCCTCTCTCTCCCCGCTCCATGAGCTTTATCAAACCTCGTCTTAAAACTGTGTATGGTTCCTGCCTCCACTACGTCATTTTCTAGGCTATTCCACTGCCTTACAACTCTATGACTGAAGAAATACTTCCTACTATCTCTCTGACTCATTTGTGTCTTCAACTTCCAATTGTGGCCTCTGTTTCTGTGTCCCCTCCCTGGAACATCCTGTCCTTGTCCACCTTGTCTATTCCACGCAGTATTTTATATGTCGTTATCATGTCTCCCCTGACCCTCCTGTCCTCCAGTGTCGTCAGGCCGATTTCCCTTAATCTTTCTTCATAGGACATTCCCCTTAGCTCTGGAACTAACCTTGTTGCAAACCTTTGTACTTTCTCTAGTTTCTTGACGTGCTTTATCAAGTGCGGGTTCCAAACAGGTGCTGCATACTCCAGTATGGGCCATGTGTGTGTGTTGTGTGTGTGTGTGTGTGTGTGTGTGTGTGTGTGTGTGTGTGTGTGTGTGTGTGTGGGTGTGTGTGTGGGTGTGTGTGTGTGGGTGTGTGTGGGTGGGTGTGTGGTGTGTGTGTGTGTGTGTGTGGGTGTGTGTGTGGTGTGTGTGTGTGTGGGTGTGTGTGGGTGTGTGTGTGGGTGTGTGTGTGTGTGTGGGTGTGTGTGGGTGTGTGTGTGTGGGTGTGTGTGGGTGTGTGTGTGTGGGTGTGTGGGGGTGTGTGGGGGTGTGTGGGGGTGTGTGTGGGTGTGTGGGTGTGGGGGTGTGTGTGGGTGTGTGTGGTGTGTGGGTGTATGTGGGCGTGTGGGCGCGTGTGGGCGTGTGTGGGTGTGTGTGGGTGTGTGTGGGTGTGTGTGGGTGTGTGTGGGTGTGTGTGGGTGTGTGTAGGTGTGTGTAGGTGTGTAGGTGTGTGTAGGTGTGTGGGTGTGTGTAGGTGCGTGGGTGTGTGTGGGTGTGTGTAGGTGCGTGGGTGTGTGTGGGTGTGTGGGTGTGTGTGGGTTTTGTGTAGGTGTGTAGGTGTGTGGGTGTGTGGAGGTGTTGTGTGGGTGTGTGTAGGTGTGTGGGTGTGTGTGGGTGTGTGTAGGTGTGTGGGTGTGTGTAGGTGTGTGTGGGTGTGTGTAGGTGTGTGTGGGTGTGTGTGGGTTGTGTGTGGGTGTGGTGGGTGTGAGTGGGTGTGTGTGGTGTGAGTGGGTGTGTGTGGGTGTGAGTGGGTGTGTGTGGGTGTGAGTGGGTGTGTGTGGGGGTGTGAGTGGGTGTGTGTAGGTGTGTGGATGTGTGTAGTGTAGACAGCCTGTACTGTCTGCACAGACAGCCTATGCTGTCTGCCAGCTTAGTTCATATTTTGCGGCACTAAGGTGCTGCCCTCTAGGCCAGCCCAAAGTCAGTGGGACGCTGGTCCCACACGCTCTCACTCTCTCAGCGGCCTAGCAGCAAAACAAGTCCTACTAGCTCTCTCCCTCGTGGGCATGGCCCTACCGGGCCATGGGCACAACACACAAGCCTGTGTACCCACCACGACTTTACCAAATAAAACGAAGAAGCCTCCGAAGACGTTTATCACTGAACCCCTCCCCGCTACCAGCTCACCAAATCTCATTAAACATTGGTGGGAAGCGGTGGTCGCAGCAGTTGTGTTTGCCCGGAGGAAGAGGGATGAAGTCATCTTCACTTTATCACCCTACACAACAAACATCCGTCTCTCAACGAGTTATCCTGATGTCGTGTCTGCACGTTTCAGCATCCAGACACAGGTACAAGCAGGATCTAGCCGAAATTTGCTGAATTTCTTAGAGAAATGTAAGTGACCCCACGCTACAGTGTTCCACGCTGTTTCTCAAGTCACATGTTCAGCGTCACTTGTATGTTCTGCTGTTGTTGTTCAGCTCAGCATAGCTGTTTCAGCAAGCCAGAGGTGAGTTTTGTGGTGATTTCTGCGTCCAGTGTGCGTGTCTCCGTGTTTGTGGGAGAGGGAGTGGTCATTCCTCGCCTTGTCCACGCTCGCCCTGTTGTACACTCACCTCACCAGCCTACCATACACCACTATGTGTTCACTCCCTCTGCTGTGTTTTCTGCTGTTTTCCGTGTGAATTCATTGCCAGAGCTGTGTATCCGAGTGCCCGAGGCCACTCGAAGCTATGTGGATCAGCAAGCAACGTGGATCAGCAAGCCACTTGGATCATGAAGCCAAGTGGATCAGCAAGCCATGTGGATCAGCATGCCATGTAGATCATGACGCCACATGGAACACAATGCCACGTGGGGTGTGGACAATGCCATGCGGACCTACGAGCCACGTGAGTTGTCAGATGTCCCAGGCCACATGCTGTGGTCTGCTGCCCGACTTCATGACATCACAATGTCTGCCTGACGTCACCTCGAGATGTCTGCTGACGTCAGTGCTACTGACGTCACGCCTGACATCACATGATGTCACATCGAGTGTTTCAGTAAATATGTCAGTATTGTCGAGAAGATTGAGAGAAGATATATGTCGTGTGTTAATTAATTCCTCAGTGTTCTCTCATGTTAGTGTATGGCTTAGTGTCAATTTTTTGCACTGAAAAGCATCATTTGCTAGTTAAGCCATGTTGTACCGCATGTACCGCGATGTGTAAAGTTTTCCGAGAGTCCAGTGTGGTCTGCGGCCAGACCCCAGAGTAGCACCACTTTGTTAGTCACCCGGTGTGACCAGCATGTTTGTCAGCTGATATTAGCCAGCTGAGTGTATGAGCCCCTCTTGTACAGAAAGCTCTTATTGTTCGCCGCTCGTGATGTTCTGCAGAATCATACCTGCTACGATTCCCATCGAGATTTGTTTCACTTCACCTCCAGACCTTCAGAGTGCAGTTATATGTAGAGAAACAAGTCTGGGGATGCTTAGACTAACCTCTGCTATAACTCCAACTGCTGAGAGAATGACACTCATCAAGCTGCAGTTAGCCCTGTCGGCAGGCGCTGTGTCAGCCTCGTCTCACAAGCTTCAGTGAGCAGCCTGCACAAAGATGTCACTTTGACTGCTAGCTCGCTCACTGCAGTCTGGTGTATGATGTTACGACTCCCAGATGTTTCGCCCAGTCGTCTCTGCCACGACTCGCTCCACAACTCACTCCATGCTCGCCGGCAGTGACAGCCCAGCGACAGTACCAGTCAAAAAGTGTCCCGAGTCGCTTGCCAGAAGTCCTGCCCAGTTGCCGAGTTTTGTCGATGCCTCACTCGAGGGCACCAGCATGTTGTGCCCCAGGTTGAGTGAAAATCTGCAGTGACTCCTACGATGACTGCTTCACCGTTCTAGAGGAGACCGTAACCTGTTACGTCACAGCTCAACCACAGTGATGTCTCCTGTGTTGCAGTATCTGTCCAGACGCACGAAGGCGTGCAGTGATGCCCTTCGACGCTCACTGCCTATGACCACGATGTTTAGCACACCACACATTTTTTCTTCCCTCCCTGTAGGAAGTTTTTTTTTTCCATGTCCATGTGTATATATATGTTTTTTACTTTGTGTTCTGTGCCCTGTTCCTACGAGAGAGAGACCGAGTTTTTTTTACCACCAGTATTGTCGCGTCAGGACGACGCAAAGTAGGTGGCCGAGCGTATGTAGACAGCCTATGCTGTCTGCCAGCTTAGTTCATATTTCGTGGCACTAAGGTGCTGCCCTCTAGGCCAGCCCAAAGTCAGTGGGACGCTGGTCCCACATGCCCTCACTCTCTCAGCGGCCTAGCAGCAAGACAAATCCTACTAGCTCTCTCCCTCGTGGGCATGGCCCTACCAGGACATGGGCACAACACACAAGCCTGTGTACCCACCACGACTTTACCAAATAAAACAAAGAAGCCATCAAAGACGTTTATCACTGACCCCTCCCCGCTACCAGCTCACCAAATAATCTCATTAAACAGTAGGTGTGTAGGTGTGTGTGTGGGTGTGTGTGTAGGTGTGTGGGTGTGTAAGTTTGTGTGTAGGTGTGTGTAGGAGAGAGAGAGAGAGAGAGAGAGAGAGAGAGAGAGAGAGAGAGAGAGAGAGAGAGAGAGAGAGAGAGAGAGAGAGAGAGAGAGAGAGAGAGAGAAGGGGGCACGAAATGCATCATGCTGCCAAACAAACAACCAGACTTGTCAGACTGATGTTTACATTTTAACTAACAAACAATACCCATGTAAACATGGGTAGGACTGTGCAAAAGTTGTCTATGATGCAGGGTTCAGCTCACAAGCGAAAGGACCCTGGTTCAATTACGGGGTTGGATGAGCCTTCTTACATCCGTTACCTCTGTTCACCTAGCAGTAACTAGTCAACAGGGTGCTATATTCAACTTCAGAGTGACCCATCTGGAGAGAGGTTGGCAGAACTTCTTACATAAGGCTTATTTAGTTTAAAAGAGCTTACCCTCTAAGTTCCATCTGTAAAAAAAGTCTTAAGTTCGTTTTACCTCCTGCAGGACCAACATCAACATGGGTGGCAGCAGCTGCAGCGTGTGCGATGCTGTGGCATCCATGACGTGCGGCGGCTGCGGCACTATGCACTACTGCGGCAAGGAACACCAGAGGCAACACTGGCTGCAACACCGCACTCAGTGCCCACCTTACAAGATGATTTCATCTCCAGAGGCCGGCAGGCAAGTCCTTCACAACTATTATACAACAACAATGTATGAACACAGAGAAGTGTGCATCTCTCAGTGTATACACACACCAAGTTCTCATCTCTATCCCAAACTGTCTTACATAAGAGGATATTTCCTCGCTGCATAAATTAGCACAGATCATAAGAGTACTGTGCAGCTTAGTACTCAGCGGAAACACTCTGGAGAGTCGCTTCTCTGAACGAATCTGCCTGGATTTTATACTGTTTGTGCAACATTGCAAGCTCCTGATGTGTTGATTGCAATATGAAAGGCCTAGAACTATCATTCAACTTTTAGAGAGGGTGTGGTAGGTAAGTTTGGGGTGCCAGGTGTAAATGATAATGGGAGCCCTTTGATTGAACTTTGTATAGAAAGGGGTTTAGTTATAGGTAATACATATTTTAAGAAAAAGAGGATAAATAAGTATACAAGATATGATGTAGGGCGAAATGACAGTAGTTTGTTGGATTATGTATTGGTAGATAAAAGACTGTTGAGTAGACTTCAGGATGTACATGTTTATAGAGGGGCCACAGATATATCAGATCACTTTCTAGTTGTAGCTACACTGAGAGTAAAAGGTAGATGGGATACAAGGAGAACAGAAGTATCAGGGAAGAGAGAGGTGAAGGTTTATAAACTAAAAGAGGAGGCAGTTAGGGTAAGATATAAACAGCTATTGGAGGATAGATGGGCTAATGAGAGCATAGGCAATGGGGTCGAAGAGGTATGGGGTAGGTTTAAAAATGTAGTGTTAGTGTTCAGCAGAAGTTTGTGGTTACAGGAAAGTGGGTGCGGGAGGGAAGAGGAGCGATTGGTGGAATGATGATGTAAAGAGAGTAGTAAGGGAGAAAAAGTTAGCATATGAGAAGTTTTTACAAAGTAGAAGTGATGCAAGGGGGGAAGAGTATATGGAGAAAAAGAGAGAGGTGTTAAGAGAGTGGTGAAGCAATGTAAAAAGAGAGCAAATGAGAGAGTGGGTGAGATGTTATCAACAAATTTTGTTGAAAATAAGAAAAAGTTTTGGAGTGAGATTAACAAGTTAAGAAAGCCTAGAGAACAAATGGATTTGTCAGTTAAAAATAGGAGAGGAGAGTTATTAAATGGAGAGTTAGAGGTATTGGGAAGATGGAGGGAATATTTTGAGGAATTGTTAAATGTTGATGAAGATAGGGAAGCTGTGATTTCGTGTATAGGACAAGGAGGAATAACATCTTGTAGGAGTGAGGAAGAGCCAGTTGTGAGTGTGGGGGAAGTTCGTGAGGCAGTAGGTAAAATGAAAGGGGGTAAGGCAGCCGGGATTGATGGGATAAAGATAGAAATGTTAAAAGTAGGTGGGGATATAGTTTTGGAGTGGTTGGTGCAATTATTTAATAAATGTATGGAAGAGGGTAAGGTACCTAGGGAGTGGCAGAGAGCATGCATAGTTCCTTTGTATAAAGGCAAAGGGGATAAAAGAGAGTGCAAAAATTATAGGGGGATAAGTCTGCTGAGTATACCTGGTAAAGTGTATGGTAGAGTTATTATTGAAAGAATTAAGAGTAAGACGGAGAATAGGATAGCAGATGAACAAGGAGATTTTAGGAAAGGTAGGGGGTGTGTGGACCAGGTGTTTACAGTGAAACATAAGTGAACAGTATTTAGATAAGGCTAAAGAGGTCTTTGTGGCATTTATGGATTTGGAAAAGGCGTATGACAGGGTGGATAGGGGGGAAATGTGGCAGATGTTGCAAGTGTATGGTGTAGGAGGTAGGTTACTGAAAGCAGTGAAGAGTTTTTACGAGGATAGTGAGGCTCAAGTTAGAGTATGTAGGAAAGAGGGAAATTTTTTCCCAGTAAAAGTAGGCCTTAGACAAGGATGTGTGATGTCACCGTGGTTGTTTAATATATTTATAGATGGGGTTGTAAGAGAAGTAAATGCGAGGGTCTTGGCAAGAGGCGTGGAGTTAAAAGATAAAGAATCACACACAAAGTGGGAGTTGTCACAGCTGCTCTTTGCTGATGACACTGTGCTCTTGGGAGATTCTGAAGAGAAGTTGCAGAGATTGGTGGATGAATTTGGTAGGGTGTGCAAAAGAAGAAAATTAAAGGTGAATACAGGAAAGAATAAGGTTATGAAGATAACAAAAAGATTAGGTGATGAAAGATTGAAAATCAGATTGGAGGGAGAGAGTATGGAGGAGGTGAATGTATTCAGATATTTGGGAGTGGACGTGTCAGCGGATGGGTCTATGAAAGATGAGGTGAATCATAGAATTGATGAGGGGAAAAGTGAGTGGTGCACTTAGGAGTCTGTGGAGACAAAGAACTTTGTCCTTGGAGGCAAAGAGGGGAATGTATGAGAGTATAGTTTTACCAACGCTCTTATATGGGTGTGAAGCATGGGTGATTAATGTTGCAGTGAGGAGAAGGCTGGAGGCAGTGGAGATGTCATGTCTGAGGGCAATGTGTGGTGTGAATATAATGCAGAGAATTCGTAGTTTGGAAGTTAGGAGGAGGTGCGGAATTACCAAAACTGTTGTCCAGAGGGCTGAGGAAGGGTTGTTGAGGTGGTTCGGACATGTAGAGAGAATGGAGCAAAACAGAATGACTTCAAGAGTGTATCAGTCTGTAGTGGAAGGAAGGCGGGGTAGGGGTCGGCCTAGGAAAGGTTGGAGAGAGGGGGTAAAGGAGGTTTTGTGTGCGAGGGGCTTGGACTTCCAGCAGGCATGCGTGAGCGTGTTTGATAGGAGTGAATGGAGACAAATGGCTTTTAATACTTGACGTGCTGTTGGAGTGTGAGCAAAGTAACATTTATGAAGGGGTTCAGGGAAACCGGCAGGCCGGACTTGAGTCCTGGAGATGGGAAGTACAGTGCCTGCACTCTGAAGGAGGGGTGTTAATGTTGCAGTTTAAAAACTGTAGTGTAAAGCACCCTTCTGGCAAGACAGTGATGGAGTGAATGATGGTGAAAGTTTTTCTTTTTCGGGCCACCCTGCCTTGGTGGGAATCAGCCAGTGATAAAAAAAAAAATTATATATATATATATATATATATATATATATATATATATATATATATATATATATATATATATATATATATATATATATATATATATATATATATAATATAATATATATATATATATATAATATATATATATATATATATAATATATATATATATATATATATATATATATATAAATAATATATATATATATATATATATATATATGTGTGTGTGTACTCGCCTATTTGTACTCACCTATTTGTGGTTGCAGGGGTCGAGTCCTAGCTCCTGGCCCCGCCTCTTCACCGGTTGCTACTAGGCCCTCTCTCTCCCCGCTCCATGAGCTTTATCAAACCTCGTCTTAAAACTGTGTATGGTTCCTGCCTCCACTACGTCATTTTCTAGGCTATTCCACTGCCTTACAACTCTATGACTGAAGAAATACTTCCTACTATCTCTCTGACTCATTTGTGTCTTCAACTTCCAATTGTGGCCTCTTGTTTCTGTGTCCCCTCCCTGGAACATCCTGTCCTTGTCGTGTGTGTGTGTGTGTGTGTGTGTGTGTGTGTGTGTGTGTGTGTGTGTGTGTGTGTGTGTGTGTGTGTGTGTGTGTGTGTGTGTGTCGTGTCGAATAGGTAAAACTGGTCAATTAGCAAGAACTCATTTAAAATTAAGTCTTTTCTAAAAATTCTCTTATACGTTTAAAGATGTATTTTTTTCATTGAGGTTAATTACAATAACGTACATTCATATACTGTACACTGCCTTTATAAATCTTATAAAATCTGACTAATAGTTACGTAGTCAAACAAGGTGAACCATCAGCTATTTTAATAAATAATTATTTTACATTTGTGATGTTTAGGAAAAAGCAGCTGTTTTTCCCCATAGCTGCTATAGCAGGCTTTTTAAGTTTAATAAAAATAATAATAATAATAATAAATAAAATTAATCTGCCTAAAACTACTACTACTACCAATAATAACGTACGATAGTTAGAGCTAATGATTGTTATGCTAAGTGACTTGCTGTTGCCTCTGTCACTGTGGCAATAACAGTCTGAATATACAGTTTTTTCCTATACCAGATCAGTTAATGAACTAGAAGGGCACTTATCGTGATCTATACTGAGTTGTGCATTCTTGCAGGTACCTGGTGGCGTCGCGTCGCCTGCCAGCGGGCCAGGTGTTGGTGGAAGAACAACCACTGGCTGTGGGTCCCCTGTCTATCTCAGAGCTTGTCTGTCTCGGCTGTCATGGTCCTATCATAGGCAACGACTTCCCTCGCTGTCCAGAGTGCTGGTGGCCACTGTGTTCCCTAGAATGCGCCTCCAGCAGCCTTCACCAGGCAGAGTGTCCCATCCTGGCCACTGATGTCAAGCACATAGGGCCACCAACTACTCAGATGGAGACGCTTCGTTACGATGTCATTCTTTCCATTCGCTGCCTCCTCTTGAAGTCTAAGAACCCCACGGCGTGGCAGACACTTATGTCGATGGAGCATCACTCTGAGCAGCGACAGCTCAACCAAGAGGACAATCAGATAGTTACTGTCCACTACATGAAAGAAGTGCTGAAGCTGGACTACGATATTAAAACTCTTCGTCAAATAAGAGGCGCCATAGCTACGAATGGCATGGAAATAAGAAGCAAGAAGAACGTGAGAGTAAGAGCATTGTATCCAATAGTGCGGCTGTTCAACAACTCTTGTGTACCCAACGTGAACATGTCTTGTGGCGTTGAGGGGACGATGCAAGCAAGGACTACAGTGCCCCTCAAGATCGGAGAGCCTCTTTGTATCTGCTACACAGGGGCGCTAATGCCTGCCTGGGAACGATATGGCACTTTAACCAGGAATTATCACTTTACATGCAACTGTACCCGCTGTGAAGACCCTACGGAACTAGGAACCTATTTTTCCTGCCCCAGATGTCCAGATTGTAAGGGGTCCTACATGTTGTCCTCCACATGGCTCGACGAGACTGTGTGGATGTGTCCTACCTGCAAGCTGGAGAAGACTGACACTCAGGTTCGAGAGGACATCGACGACTGGCTTCAAAGAATATTAATGGACGGCATATTTAACACCTTCAAGAGAGCCAAGGCTACGCTGAAAAAGGTAGAGGATCAGTTTCATGCTCAGCACTACGTATGGATGCGGGCGGCGCAGTCAGCCTTGTTCCAACTGTGCGACAACAACACTGAACCGGCGCTCAAGCTCAGGATTAAAACCTGGAAGAAACTCGTGCATTTGTATAGCGTGCTTGAGCCAGGCCTCACGAAGAGAAGAGGTGAGAATCCTAGTATGTGGGAAGCAGGAGGACGACTCGCTGGCGCCGTGCTGGGTGTTATTTCTTGTTACTTAACTGTTTCTCTCATCCTTCCAACTCCTCCGCCAGGATGACTGGTAGGGGCAGTGCGGGGAGACTGGCAGTATATATCAAGGTCAGTTTCTGTTTAGTTACATACTTAGAAGAGATGTGGTATAGAAGTTAGTTTCGCGGCTTCACCTGTTGACATGCGAGGTTCGCCGGCCTGCTGCTGCTGAGTCCTGCCCGGGATAGCAGTTAGTGTGTACAGTAATGCTACTCTAAAACTAATCTACTCCTCTAACCAGCTGATTCTAGTGACGACTCTGTATACATGTGGCCACTACTTACATAAAATATACTCCATATAGTTATAAAAGCGGGAAGGGTGTAGAAAGAATGGAAGGGAAATGGGAAGAGTTGAGTAGTGCTGTGTGTGTAGGGATAAGAAGAGTCAAAAGACAGACAATACAACTCTTCAAGCATTCTAGAAGATAATCCACTGTTAGCAATCACTTTAAATTTCTCTACATCACACACGCACAATCATACATAGAAGGACCGCTTACATGTCCAGCCCCTTTCCATTTTTTTACAAATAGCTAAGTGTCAAGAGTGTAGTTCATTCTTGCTCCAGACAAGAGTAATGAAACTTGACTCATTAATAAACCTCACGACACCAAAATTTTGCCTTCTGTGAATATTTTATTAGTATTAAACATCTCTGAGCAAAGAGAAAGTTCCAGAGAACTGCTTCTCTCAGTAATTAAATGTATAACACTAAGGACCGTGTTCAAGTATTTAGTCAAGATATAATGTCATGAAATACGTTATAAGTCCTCCTAAGCTAACCTTGGTGTTTCACAGTCAATATAGCCACCAGAAAAACACTAATGTAATATTGTCGTGTAGGGTTCGAATGCTGGAATTGGGTAAACACACACACTTCGGATGGCTGGTAACTTATAATTATGGGTACTAAAGGAGGAGCGCCAAGCCTGACCTGTCTTCTCTCTTATGTCTGGACTAGAAATGCTGTACCGTGCCCGATGAGCAAGCGGCATTCAAACATGTTATGGTCAGAGGAATGACTCGGTAACGGTCAGTGATCACATAGGGAGGTGGTGAATCAATAACAGTTGGTATGAGTCACAACTACTGACACTACTGGTAACTGATACTACTGATAGCTTGGCGACACTAACGTATGGTGCCCCGACATAAAGCTAAAGCTAATACAAACTAGAGGTGACAGGCGTGTGGCTCTGGGCTGATTCTATACAATGTCAAAGTACATAACAGTTGAACATAACATAAGGATATTATCGGGATGGAAGCTAATGTAATGGAACTTATTGTAATGCATTACAAGGTGTGATATATCACAATTCATAGAATTAATAGACTCAATGGTTGGATTATACAATAAAAGAGAAAAAAAATTGTTCGATCAATCTGTATTCATGTGATCTACGGATTCTGAGGAAGGATATGTACAAAGGAGGAAGTGTTTAACAGAAAAGGCAGACTTTTCGTGCACTCAAATCTAGATTGCTAAATCTCAGAATTCGGAGAGAACGAAAACACAAAAACAAATTCTTGAATATTAATAAGTTGATATAGTAACAGACAGCTGAAATATATTTTAAATTATATTATTCATCTCTACACGTTATTTACATTTAACCCCAACTCTGCTAGGTTGAGATTTACATATGCAGAATTATCATCATCTCTGGGAGGATCAAACTCTGTTTCAGGGGCTAACTCATGCCATGGTTGAGGCAGATCTGAATTGGTATTTACAATTGATACTCGAGGATTTCTCGATACTTGTCGTGTACGTAGGGAAAAACGACATTCAGGTTGATCGTCCGACTGAGTACTAGAGGTCGAGAGTACAGAGTCGGGAGGATTGTCAGAGTGTCACATTAGTCTGGGTAGGATCATCACCATCACATGCTAACTTCATATGATCTAAATATGATTCTTCATACTGACCAGTACTAACTTCTCTACCCGTATACTTATTGCCATTGATATGTTCAACTACTCGATAAGGACCAACAAACTTTTGATTGAGCTTAGGAATTGCAGATGTTTTGTTAAAGTTATTCAGCCACAGCCAGAATAACACTTAATGTTAAGTAATGTAACTCAGTATTTTGTATGCATTTGTAGAACTGTTGTTACTCATTTTTTAATAAAACTGCTAGAAACGATGTATTAAGTTATGCTATGAACAAATTTCTAGTGTTGTGAACACATCTGTCATATTAGACTAAAAAAATTGAAAGCACTCGTTTCACACTGCATAGTCAATGTCTGTCATCAACGGTAAGAGTCAAATTTAGACAGAGATAATATCCCCACTATTTACAAATGAAATACGCATAGATGTTGGGCTCTCATGTGAGTTCCCTTTAAAGTTGATGCAACACTAGCAGACACGAGGCTTCTACTTCTATACACATACTGTTCCCTGACCCAGCATCAGGCAAGCAGTAAGGGGAGGGGAGCAGTCTGCATTTTACTGTCACGTTTCTTCGGTCTTAACAGTGATTTTCAGTTTTGTGCTCCTGTATCAAAACATTCTCATATTGTAATTTCTTAAATTTGGTTAATCTACCTTACATAATGTAAACAGCGCATATACAGAAATATGTTCACGCATACGAAGTAAAAAAACAATGTTGGCAATAGGAGGAATAAATTAATTATATATATATATATATAATATATATAATATATATATTATATATATATATATATATATATATATATATTTTCAAAAGCTTCACATTAATAATTATTGTCACTGCTGATAAATAACGACCGTTGTGTTTCCCAGGTATGACGCTGCTGGAGATGGGCATCATAATGCTTCGGGCAGCCAAACTGGAGTATGATGAGGGCGACCCTTTCATGCCAGAGTTCCTGAAGCAGCTGCAGGAGATATCGGAGTATCTGAAGGAGGCCACGCAGATCCTGCAGCTGGAGCCGGTCGGGACGCGAGGCCCGGTGCTGGCACAAAAAGCTGAAGAGAAGCGAGCGGAGGTGGAGGAATTCCTGGATCGTCTCGACTCCAGCTGTGTGAGGGCAGAGTGATCTCGAGAGAGAAAAAAAATGCTTACACTGATTAACCCAGGAAGGCTATTAATAACCCAGGGTATCCCCCCAAAAAAGCCTAGTAGTTTGCCTTATTTTCCTTGGAGTCCTTCAGTCTTTTTTCTTGCAATGTTATCCAACACAGCCGACTGCCTATTTGGTACCTATTTACTGCTAAGTGAACAAGGGCAGAAGGTGTAAGGAGACTTGCTAATACAGCTTGCACTGCTTTGCGAGACTGATGGGCCCAAGGAGTAATTAACCCAGATTCTCCTTTTTATTCAACTAATAGGACAGTAGACTTTGCTGTAGTCAGTTGTGTATAGAATAGTGGCTCTTGGCAGAGGATCTAGTTCACTTTACATTTAAGCATTAACTACTGTGTTATAAAGTCGGTGTGATAAAGGAACTCTCGTATTTAATGAAGAAAAAACAAGTCACAGTACTGTGGCTTTGAAAATTTCTATACGTACTGCCCCTTTGTAAGCTGCAAAAGTTAGCAAGTGCTGCTCACACAGACGCCACGAGTGGATTCTCCCAGGCTTACAAATGGCTCATGCAACAACTTACTGATAATGACGTGAAATACCTAACTGTACTAAAGAAAGGGTAACTCACTTGTCTAGATGGGATGCTAAGTTTCCTTTCTCCCAGTACCTCATTAGTGGCGACGCTTCCGGTGTACCTGCGTCTGCCTGGACAACCCTCGAAATTTCAAAAAGTGCTTCCGCAGAAAATTGGCCAATAATGCTGACTGGGAAACGAGTATCTAGTTCGTTGGGATACAAGTAAGTATCCCACGGTTTAGGGAAAGCTCCGTTGGTCTTGTTACACAATCCAAGCGATTTAGTGCCAGTGTTTTGGTAACACGCCTGTCACGCCTCGTCTCTACGACCTCTGACATGTAATTGAACTAGCTAGCTCCTCCTAACTGATTTCGTTCATATTTGACCTATTTCTAACTATTTTAGGTCCTAAACTGTATTAATAATTCTTACGTTATTTATTATTTTGTGTACCTACGTAACTCTTCCTAGAAGGTTAAATATTAGTAATATATACGAGTGTGATGTAAGTGGGTATGTTAAGGGCTCTTAAAGCTTAAACATTATAAACGTTTTGTGGAATATTTTGGTAATCCAAATAATTTCCACAGTGGCTATCAACATTCACAATTCGCAAACTAGAAAACGTTCCAGTCTGTACTGGTCAGTTATTAAGTAGCGACTTGATATGGTCGAGGAAGGATGGGAGGTCCTCAGGTACCATTTTCATTTTGTTGGATAAGCCACCTCTTGTTTCAAGTACTATGAATTTCAATTATATTCACGGGGAAGCATCAAACCCGTCATGATGATAATGCCTGGGTAATGGAAGGTCCCTCCTAATCATGAGTTATGCGAAGAAGGGATGTGTAGCTTCAGTGTTTTCGACGTAGCCCTTAAGCAGCATTAAGACACTCCATAAAGGTTCAGGTGCCATGAATATATCCCTCCCTTACCAGGGAGATACAATATGTAAGATAATATAACATGCTGGTTATGCCATTTTATAGAAAAGACGTCTCGTTCACCATACTAAGAATTGATAAAAGTCCCTGGTGTAAGAAACGTCTAAACAAAATGGCGCAAATCGCACACTGTATTTTATTAACATACTTGCACTGTATGTAAATCACTGGTATTATATATATACCAGTGATTTGCATACAGTATAAGTTGGAATCGCCTACTTGGCCAACTTTCTCCAGAGTTGTGTAGTTACGTGGGATTAGCTGTTTTAAACACGATGACTGTCCAGTCATTATTTGTAAGTGTCCTCGTCGTTGTGATTTACATCGTGTTGCACAGATTACTGTCATTTTGTGTAGCCCAGTCAGTGTTAGTTTTTAATGGGGTACGATCTGATTATAACTCCTTTGTTTTCTAATACTGGCTCAGCTAAGCTACCTCTCTGCCCACCTCTCTCTCACTCCATCTCTCACTCCATCTCTCACTCCATCTCTCACTCCATCTCTCACTCCATCTCTCACTCCATCTCTCACTCCATCTCTCACTCCATCTCTCACTCCATCTCTCACTCCATCTCTCACTCCATCTCTCACTCCATCTCTCACTCCATCTCTCACTCCATCTCTCACTCCATCTCTCACTCCATCTCTCACTCCATCTCTCACTCCATCTCTCACTCCATCTCTCACTCCATCTCTCACTCCATCTCTCACTCCATCTCTCACTCCATCTCTCACTCCATCTCTCGAAAAATTAATGTGGTTATAATTATAACCTTAATTTTTAAAGGAGGTGGACGTGTAAGCCAATGGAAGGTCTTGGTCAGATGACCAAAAGCTTCAGTGGTGGGACATCGTATGACTGAAGACCTGAGTCAGGAAACGCCGCCTGTTTCCTGACGAATTTTACCTAACCTAACAAAAGCTGTCACTGTCGGTATATTATACTATTTTTAACATACCCCCCCCCTCTCTCTCTATATCCTGGTATCACAAGAATTTTCACCTTACATATTACTGTAACACTCACACAGTATCACTCAACAATGTTACGCTCCAGATTAAACAATAAAAGGAAAACACAATACTGATATTTTACAAGAGCATTTGTTACTGTTCTTGTTATCATACTTGGACTTGTATATAAAATTCAGCCCCTTTTCTGTTCTACTTAAGGACAACTTATTCTGTAAATCTGGTTTTCTGTTTTTAAATTTAGATTTTTTATTGTGGATTTTTATAAAATTTAAAAGTATAAAGTGACAAACACAAATAATCGTTTTAATGAACCTGATATTATTAGAGTTATCACAGGGAATGTTATACTAGTCAGAATAATTTTCTTCCAGGTTTATAAGAGACTCCCCATGCGATAAGCTTTCAATTTTACCACTGGTGAAGGATAACCAGGGGAGACTTGGATAGCTATTGGGGATAACAGTTCGCCCTCTCTTCAATTTTGTGTTGCAGTTTTATAACTATAGTGTAAGCACGTCTCTGGCAAGACAGTGATGGAGTGAATCATGATGAAAGTTTTTATTTTCCGGGTCACCCTGCCTTGGTGGGAAGCGGTCGATGTGTTAATAAAAACCAAAAAAATAGTTTCGGTGCGATATTTTGTATTTTTTCTGATTCATTTCAGAACTTCAGCGTTGATATTTACCTGCATTAGAAACTTGTGTCGCACTCTGTACTATTCCTTTGGCCTGCATTGAGGAAGAGGTGACTGGATTTATGGGATACAGGGATATCTTCCTCGGATCACGCAGTGACCGAAACATGTCTCGATTTTTACGTAACTAAAGAGTAACCTAGTGGAAGGCCAAGAACAAATAACTAACAAAATATCCCCAGGTATCAGAGTTGGGAGCAATCTCAGCGTGTGTCGAGAAAGAATACTTTCACAATGTTAATTCTAAATGTATAATAACCCAGGAAAGCCAGGCAGTGTGGTTCATTTCAGATAAAAGATCCCCTCTGGTAATTTGTGAATCACAGCAGCCGACTGACTCCAAAGATGATGCTAGGTGAACATGGCCAGGAAGACCCAGGAGACTTGCCCTTGCGACTCCAACCTCGCTGGCCCAGGATTAGAACCAGGTCCTTTAGATGTGAACTGATCTCTATACCAGTGAGCTATGAGCGTACAAGAATATCCCCAGAGAAATTAAGCAATTTGGGTTATTTCTTCGTGTTAGGGTTTATAGGGCCACTGACAGCTTACGCCGTATCGAGCCCTTTGGATTGCTACCACTAGGGTTCTTCAGGTTTTTACCACGAGTGCGATCCACATAGCTACCAACTCCGAGCTAGGTAACATGACTAGCAGGTGAAAATTTAGACACGTATGCAAACACCTGGTTATCTTTATTGTAAACGTCTCGCCATCCAGTGGCTTTATCAATACAGATTCTAGGACACAATTTGAAGACAGTAGAACTATACACAAAAGACTGTATTGATAAAGCCATTGGATGGCGAGAAGTCTACAATAAAGATACCCAGATGTTTGCATGTGTGTGTAAATTTTCATCTTGTCGGTATTGTATACCATTCTTGTACATCATGACTAGCAGTGTTAGATGACTTGTTTATACGACAGTTCTGAGTTAACCTCTGGCTCTCTTCCCTTTTGTTTTTCACTCATTGTTTACTCTTGATCTAAGCAGGACAGAAACTTCATACAGTTTTATTTCCTATTTGTAGGTTAGCGTGTAGTCGCTAAGTTTAAGTTCAACCTAAAGTTTACACGTTTTTTTAGTCATTCAAAAGTAACCGTCATCATGGTGGTTCATCTGCTCCCGCCACACCATTGGTACTCAACTTAAGTTTTCCAACTGACCACGTTTGGAGCTTACTGATGCAACTCTTGCAAGCTTTGTGTGGTGCAAATGTTTTGTCCTGGTCTCCAAGTTTGCAGCCAAAATAAGCAAATAAGCAGCGCTTCAATAAAGGAGTAATGTTGCTCCGGGAATCTGAAGGGGTGAATTGCCCGCAGACATAGCAAAATATATCTGGTGAATTTATGCAGCCTCTAGACAGATTAATGATCCGAAAATAAAGAAAAATATATTAGATTTAACATTTAAGTCAATATAAGGTAAGCATTTTAATTTGAAATATACCACTTTCTCATTTATTTATGTTATACGAAAAGAGAAAATTAACGTTTCCGTATAACTTGACAACTTAATGTGATAGAAATGAGTAAAAAACACAATGAATCACTATTTATATATATATATATATATATATATATATATATATATATATATATATATATATATATATATATATATATATATATATATTATACACCGAAAAAGATACCATCGAGTCAATTTAAAAAATCATGCAGACCAGTGTAATGACTATCATGGTTAAAATTGTTTGTTAGCTCTGCTTTTCAATATAGATCTACGTGTTACAACAGGTTCCAACAGGCTTGTGGAAGTGTGTTTCTTACCACACTCACACTCACTGACCATTATTGTTCCAGCAGTCATGGAAAGTGGTTGTGCTGTGCAAGTTTATATTTTGAGGTGAAAGTTAGGTAAATATTCACTGATCAAGCTATTGATATTCATGTGTGGCATTATATATATATTAATTTTATTTTCCTACTGAATGATATAAATAATTCTGCTTAGCTGTCATGCTCTGTATTATAATTATAAATTAATGAATAAATTTTATCTTCTAATTGTTTTCTTCTTTCAGATGCCTCGTACTTGTGTGAATAAGGCAGATAACTTCTGCTACATCTGTGATGACCTTTGCATCCCAGAAGTGTCGTATAACTGCTATGGTTAGAAAGGGATATCACCTATATTTTGGATGCAAGACTGGTGACCAGGATAAGAACTCGGCTCCACACACATGCTGCAACAATTGTACTAACCTTCGCCAGTGGTTGAACAGAAATAGGAAAGGAAGAAGCCAAACCCATTTGTGACAACGGTTTGAGATGCTGTGGTACCAAATGCACACCCAACCAAGTATCTATGGAAAGGTTTGTGAACAACACTCAGTGCTTCATCGGCCTTTTGCTGTGCCAATGACATGGAGGGAGCCAACAGACCAAACAAACAATTGTTATTTCTGCATGGTACCTCCAGTACGAGAGCTTCTTAAAGATGGTGACTTTGAATAAGACCTTCATGGGGAGGAGAAAGCTACTTGGAAAGCATTTCAAGTTAGTGGTGAAGCGATTTCTGGGAAACATAATGGAAGGCGCCTACAAAGAATTGGTGGAAAACCTCATCAAGGCTTACAAGAATATGGGATGTAACATGTCACTTAAAATCCACTTTTTGGACTCGCATTTAGACTTACTTCTAGCGAACTGTGGGGCAAGGTGGTGAAAAGGGGTGAAAGGTTTCACCAAAATATTTCAACCATGGAAAAACGGTACCAGGGCAAATGGGGCACAAGAATGCTTGCAGACTATTGCTGGACAATGGTAAGAGATGATTCTTCAGCCCACTATAAGAGTCAAGCAAAAACTCAGAGTAGGTACGGATTACAGTTTAAAACATACTGATACATATTGTACGTTACAATAAAATAATCAAATATTACATGTCTTGTATATTTAAACCTACAGATAATAAACATTTTTCAAGGTGATATTTGGATTCAGGACATGAAAATACATAAGAATTACCTAATCTCATTTAAGAAGCATACAACTTTCAAAAACTGTTGGCCAGTGTTATCGATAACGAGGTATACCACGAAACAACTAAAGTGGCAAATTGTTTTAATTCCTACTACACAACTGTTGCATCAACACTAGTAAGTAAACTGTCGGTTGCATCAAATACCTTTAACACAGACTCTGATAAGTTAAAGTCATACTACACTAATAAAGAGGTAGCTCCAAAGAGCTGTCAACTAACCATACCACGGGTGGGGTTTGAACCCGTGGTCAGAGTCTCAAAATTCCAGACTGTCGCGTTAGCCACTGGACCAGCTAGCTTCAAAAAGATTCATCCAACTAGGTGTATTTCTACACCATAGGTCAGCATAGGCACCACTGTGACCACAACTGCAAGTTTTTACAGACGAATCTCCCGCCAGCATGGTGGGTTCAAATCCCACCTGTGGAATGGTTTGTTTGCAATCGTGTCATTACCCACTGAACTGCGTGAAGTTGTTCAGTGCGCTGCTCAGTTTTGCTCCTAGTTTTACGGCTTATATATTGTTTTCTGCTGGAATTCTTGATCTTTTAGATTATCCTGTTTAAAACTTGCACTTGGCAGAACACATGTCAACATCGTTGGAGGGACGATAATGATGTATTGTGGCCATCACATTTTGTGTTTTTTTTCTAAGTTATTCTTTTATTAGTGCTCTTTTCTCAATTTATTTATATATTCTTGTGATTTTATCACATGTTATTGAGGAATCATGGTTTTACAAAATTACAGGGGGAATCTGCGGTAGCCTTTACCCTTTCTTTTTTTTTTTTTTCAAAAAATTTCATAAATAATAAAAATTCAACATTTTGTATTAGGATACAGTCAGTTATAAATTCTAAGTTTTACTGATATTGTAAAAACGTTACTAGTGTTGCCATATCAAAACTCGGAATTTTCTTTCATTTTATTTTTAGGCAAACTTCATGGAACTTCTGGTATTAACGTTTGATCACCTTAATAAAAAAAAATTAAAATTGGAGTCTTAAAAAAATTAAAATTATTCATGCCCCCTGTAATAGGCTTCTTGGACCAAGCTAGGCAGGGCTTACACCCACCCATATGTTTACATTTGTGTAACCTACTCTGAAAGCTATACACAGGACGCCAGAGTTACTCCTGTCTTCAAGAAAAATAGTATATCTGACGTCAGCAACTACAGGGCTGTTAGTACACCCGGTGCGATGTCCAATTATCTAGATTAAGTGGTGTATTGTCAAGTGGTTGAGTATCTTAATGACAAAATTATTCTACATAGTTACCAATCAGGTTTCAGATCTTACATGACCGACACCTCCCTAATTAATCTGATAAACTACCTGAGAACTCAAATGTCGCTAGGGAATCTCATAGGTCCATATGGTGACCTTAGACTTGCAAGAAACTACAAGCTATCAACACAGATTTTGTAGACTGGTTTAAGCCCTACCTGAGCAACTGGAAACAAACTGTCAAAAGCAACAATACAGAATCAGAATCCCTGCTGATATGTGGGGTTCCCCAAGGTAGTATTCTGGGACAGTTACTATTTTTATATTATGTGAATGATATGCCCATCAATGTCAAGTGTAAGCTTCTGTTGTATGCAGA